TTAGAGCTCGACAGCTGTCTCTCTGTAGCTCAGTTGGTTAGAGCTCGACAACTGTCTCTCTGTAGCTCAGTTGGTTAGAGCTCGACAACTGTCTCTCTGTAGCTCAGTTGGTTAGAGCTCGACAGCTGTCTCTCTGTAGCTCAGTTGGTTAGAGCTCGACAACTGTCTCTCTGTAGCTCAGTTGGTTAGAGCTCGACAACTGTCTCTCTGTAGCTCAGTTGGTTAGAGCTCGACAGCTGTCTCTCTGTAGCTCAGGTGGTTAGAGCTCGACAGCTGTCTCTCTGTAGCTCAGTTGGTTAGAGCTCGACAACTGTCTCTCTGCAGCTCAGTTGGTTAGAGCTTGACAACTGTCTCTCTGTAGCTCAGTTGGTTAGAGCTTGACAACTGTCTCTCTGTAGCTCAGTTGGTTAGAGCTTGACAACTGTCTCTCTGTAGCTCAGTTGGTTAGAGGTCGACAACTGTCTCTCTGTAGCTCAGTTGGTTAGAGCTCGACAACTGTCTCTCTGTAGCTCAGTTGGTTAGATGGCTGCACTGGAATCGCAGGGCTGCAGGTTCGATTCCTGCCAGAGGACCTATAGTTGCATTTTTTGCAGCTGTTCCTGGTTAGATCATAAATGTATGAAATCAGCACATCATTGCTAATGCTGATAGAAGTCATTGTGTATTCATATGGGTAACTATAACCAGCCGGCTAGGTGAGATCTCACTTTGCGCTACAGTATATAGGTGGGATCTCTGTCAAGTGAGATAAAATTTTCCATATGAACGCTTTATCCCCCACGAACGGGGTGGACAGATTTTGTCCTACAGTTAATATTGAGCAGCGGCTGGAAATATAAACAAGAAAAGTAAATGTTATTAGAACTATAGGGAAACACGTTAAAATTTGTAGATATACAACGTATACAGTTTGTTCAATCGGAACAGAAGATATTTTGAAGCCGCCATGTTTTTCTAAATTTTGTCCCACCAAGGCGGGCTATTAAATGGAATAAAAGCAATCATTTGAACACATAAATAAATAATTCATCCCATTCCCGACAAACCGTGCGGAAATCCTAATACTAGTGAGTTTAAGATACCCCGGTTTCGGTGTACGGGTACGAGTAGTGTCATCGTGTTTACTAGTTTTTACTGATGCCTTTAATTCGATCATACTTTTTCTGTTTTCTTGAAATAGCCAATGAAAAAACTGCGGAAAATGTGCACCTTAATTACACGAGTAAAGGTACAGACATCGACGAAAATATTGCTAACCAAAATCATGTTACCCGTAAACCGAAACCGGGGTATCTTAAACTCCCTATTTTTGGCTACACGTCTCGGGTACATTCTCTAAACTATTTTCACTTTGTGTCTTTCCAGTCAGGAGCGGCGGCTGCCGTTCTGAAACAAGATCAGACGACAATCAACAATCGTATCATTAATGTCGCGCTGTCCAATCCTCCGAAAAAACATCGACAGGAAAATGAACCGAAAGTTCATCGCCAAGAGGGAAGGTAAAGAGCAGGGTACAGAGATTTGCCAAGTTGACAAGCTTGCTACAAGCCTGTTGCGAACACATCTTGTTGACAAGTTGTGTGATTTTTACGTGTGTACTCTGCTCTGCAAAGCAAGAACTATTGCCACTATCAAAATGGCCACTATCGAAATTTTCCCGGGCGATGACTACTAAGATCAGTATTCCTCGCGGGCATCAAGCCTTGTGACGTCATTATGCATAAGGTCTATTGGGCAATGTCCTTTAGTCCCACAAACGCATACGTGTAAAAGTGGGTGAAAACGTCCTGGCGGAGTCTAAACATAAAGTCTATATTTTATTTTATTTTAGCCGCCCTGGCCGAGCTCGTACCCAGATACAATTTGTACCCAGGGCTCTTAAAAAAACACCTGGCACGGACACGTCGAAACCATCAGCAGATCCTGGGAACGAGGTTGCAACAAGCAAGGACGAAAAGCCGAAACTCAGCAATGATGACTTTAGAAAGATGTTTCAATAGGATAAAGGTACCTTATCGTTATATCTCTGTGGTTATATGTTGTGTAAAAATATTGCATTTTAATGCTCGCCTTCCCCCCCCCCCCCCCCGGGAAATGTGCACGACCTGCTAGAAAGATCTTTGGCTCGTGTTTTCAACGGGGGAGGACACTTATAGAATAGTGAAGAACCTATTTTATTCACTGGAATATGATAAAAAAAATTCGGATTTGGGTTGAACTGACTGATATATATTGACCTGGAATAATTGCGCATTGCAGAACTGGTTTATTCTGAATATTAATGAGACGAGTTCGACATAGTCGGCAAATTTTATATTTCATTTAATGTTAAAAGCCAAAGCAAGAAATGGTTAAGGGCCTAACCATATATGCTAACATGAAACTGAGAAATATTTTAAAATACTTTTAAATTCGAATTCGAGCTTGAAACTTTATATGAAAGCAAGGAACGAAAACGCAAACAGCAACTAAAGGCCCTGTCACACTATTGCGTATGAGAGAAACGTATGAGAAGCGTATGAAAATAATTAATGAAATAATTTTCATACGCACAAAAATTCTTTGAAATGCCAGCGTATGAGTACCGTACATCTGGCGTACCTCTAGCGTATTCAGCGTGTGTCTAGAGTATGCTTACGTATAAAGCATACATCCGAATACACATGCACAAAATTTTTGAGCATGCTTAAAAAAAATGTTCTGCCTTGCCGTATGCCAGCGTATGCCACCGTACGCGACCGTACTTGCAACGTATACAACCTAAGCCTAACGTACCCCTAGCGTATGTCAGCGTATACCGGCGTATGAGTGATATTTTTCATACGCTGGCATACGCTAGTACGATACGCAATAGTGTGACAGGGCCTTAATATAAAACAGTTCACGGTACATTCTCAAGGTCCCAAACTATTGAATTCTCTCAGAATTGCAAAAAGTGTTCTCCGGATAAAGTTTCAAGTTTCAGTTAAACCTGTCTCAAGATAATGTGAATAAAAGGTTTTTTCAAATTGGTTTCTTACTCCTATTTTCTACTGACTAGTATTTAGCATTTATCAGCTGGTTGATTGCATTGTACTCACATACAGACAAACAGTACAGGCTGGCGACTGGTAGCAGATGTATATGCGTTACGATTGCTACACAAACGCTGGTCTCACGAAAGCTTATTGCCCGCGTTAGGAAATGTTGTACCTGCACATAACTACCAGCACAACATCAGCACAACATCCGCATCCTGTCAACCTCAACCTGTCTAGTCGATCATCATTTATTTGTTTTATGGTGTTACTGTCGAGCGCAGTGTTCCACATTAACCCATTGAGTCGCATTGCGCCCTACGTTATTATTTTACTCTGTCTAACGCCAGATTATTTTACTCTGTCTAACGCCAGATTATTTTACTCTGTCTAACGCCAGATTATTTTACTCTGTCTAACGCCAGATTATTTTACTCTGTCTAACGCCAGACGATTTTACTCGTCAAGGGGAGAGCTCTTGCGCTTAATGGGTTAAACCATTCTCACTCACCTCACATGTGGTAAACCTCCTCACGGGCGGTATGCCCGCGGCGTTTTGCAACTCTGCTTTCTTCCCATACCCTTACAATCGCGGAGACAATCTCTGGTAATAAAGTTATATATGATGTTTGTGATGTTACTCTGAGTGTATATCCACACCGGACGAGCTTGAAAAATATGCCCGGCCACGGTGAGAATCGAACCTACAACTTTTGGAAGTTCTAGTTCCTTCGATACCAGTGTAATCTAGTAATATGATTTTTTCTGTGTTGATTGGAGCATTGGGCTAGTATTCCAAAGGTCGTAGGTTCGATTCCCACCGTGGCCGGGCATATTTTTCAAGCTCGTCCAGTGTGGATATACACTCAGAGTAACATCACAAACATCATATTCACCCCGAGTACACAACACCAACACAGAAAAAATCAAAGTTATATATGATTACACTTCATGCGCCAAGCAATTCACGTACAATAGCGCGCTGAAGTTCGATGTATATCAATTCGCAGCTTTTTTATTTTGAGTCATGTATATACAGTTACAATATTATTGAATTATGTAAATGTTTTGGTTGGCGAATTAGAATAATTGATTAGATCGCGAAATTCTTGTCAGAACAGGCCGGCACCGAAAAATCAGGTCCAATTGTACATCAGCCTTTTTTAAATACAATTTTTTATTAATTCTTTCCATTACACAATAAATTCCTTTAAATAATTTACAATATTTCCATTGGCATTACGGTCCACTTCCAGTAATTAAAGCATCAAAATATTTTATTAAATAAGATATTTAAATTATTGTTCATTGAAATTCAGCTTCATTTGTGTAATCCTTCCCTCTGGTCGAATGCGTATCTTCTGCAAATCTCACTGGCTTGTTTACACATATAGTTCAGTCCATCCTCCGCGCTCAGTTTCTACAAATTAAAAAGTATGATTTATTTGATATGATTATTAATTTATATAATGTTAATTTAACATATACACGAGAGCTTTAAATTGACCACTTGCGTAATAGACTAAATTTTGATCTAAACAAGTCTAGACAAAAATGTCATAACAGCTTGAAAGAGCATCACAAAATTAGTAATATTCCAAAATTTCGTTGCGAAATGTTGTAAAATGCGGAAAATATAGCCTTGCGAAGTTTGCAATTTTCAGTCATTTTAGATTACAAACGGGAAATTGACAGCCTCGAAGGGTTCGAGGCTGTCAATTTCCCGTTTGTAATGTAAAATGACTGAAAATCACAAATTTCGCAAGGCTATATTTTCCGCATTTTACAACATTTCGCAACGAAACTTCGGGATATTACTAATTTTGTGATGCTCTTTCAAGCTATGATGAAATTTTTGTCAATATCAAAATTTAGTCTATTACGCAAATGGTCAATTGAGCGTTTGAATTCTTCAATGAAATGAACTTAAGGTTTATGGAAATCAGTAGGGTTTTGTATCAGATATACAAGCTCTTTCACGGTCTTGTTTTCCCCATAGCCTATCGAAGGGAAGATGGCTGTGAAACTCATTAGAATATAACAATATAACTCATTATCTATGTTAGTCAACGTTTATTCATAAATCTGGTCGTTTCACCGTCACGTGTGTATTGTATTTTTACCAAATCCACCAATAGCAATTTCCGGTTTCCCTATTGTTTGAGTCACGGATAGGTGACTTTCCTAAAACATTGCTATTGGTTAGTTGGGCAAAAATACAATACACACGTGACGGTGAAGGACCAGATTTATGAATAGACGTTGACCAACATAGATAATGAGTTACATTGTTGTTCTAATGAGTTTCACAGCCATCTTCCCTTCGATAGGCTATGTTTT